ATGATCTGTCTCTCCTTCTAGGGGTTCATGTGTTCGGTCTTTGTGCAACAGCACTGGTTACGGATGTCATCCAGCTGGCCACAGGCTACCACACACCATTCTTTCTCACAGTGTGCAAACCCAATTATACTGTCCCAGGTGTGTCCTGTGACAAGAACCCTTACATCACCAAAGACATTTGCTCTGGCCAGGATCAGCATGCTATTCTGTCTGCCAGGTAACCAAAAAACATCTGATTTTGTGATTAACTGTGATCAACTTCAACCGTTTTCTTCCTCCCTCTTGTGGTTTTCTTCCTGTAGAGCACTTCCTACTCACTCCTTCTTTTAAACCTATAAACGTGTGACATTGACTTCTGCTGTATATCTGGTCTAGACTTACTCTAGATGTTTGCTTTCCTTTGTGACAGGAAAACCTTCCCTTCCCAGCATGCAACCCTCTCTTCCTTTGCTGCTGTTTATATTTCAGTAAGTCTCTTCGACACCGTCTCAATGCGTGTTCACTAAATGTTTACAGCATATACTGTGTATACATATAAACCTAATAGGCTAAACTCCTCTATGAGAGAAATCAATAGTGTTTAGTACAGTTTAAACTGATTGTACTGTAGATAGAAATAATGAACAACCAACATAATAGATGTGCATGTCATATGCATTGACACAAGTAATAGATTTCAACACGGATCATATTATAAAGAAAGGTGTGATTTAATATGCTCATATGCGTTCTGTTCGCTAGATTAGAGAAAGTCTAATTATAGGTAAGTGCTTCACATGTCTAGCTATTTGGCAGGATCCACTTCAAGCGACAGACGTGGAGATAAGTTGTTGCGGCTTCCCACCTTGCGCTTGTCAGACTGTCTGAAGCTGCAAGGCAATATGTTATTAATTTGCACATGACAGCTGGAGACTTCTGCTGCTCTCTGCCCTTCTAGATGTACTTCAACTCAACAATCTCTGATAGCACCAAGCTGCTCAAACCCGTTCTGGTGTTTGCCTTTGCCATTGTGGCTGCGTTGACGGGACTCACTCAGATCACCCAGTACCGCAGTCACCCAATCGATGTTTACGTTGGGTTCTGTATTGGCGCTGGTATTGCAGCGTACTTGGTGAGTATATATTTTTGCATATGTGGTGTAGCATCCCTGTTGGAAAAAAAAAAACGACATATGCTGGTTATGTTTTGAAGCATGTTTTAAACTGGTCCTGAGCTGGTTTAAGCTGGTCATGTCCTGGTCCTAAAGTGGTCCTAAGCAACTAGCTCCTGCTAAGGACCAGCTCAAGACCAGAAGCTAGTTGCTCAGGACCAGCTTAAACCAGCTCGTGACCAACTAAGGACCAGCTCAAAACAGCTACAATGCTTCAAAACATACCTAACCATCATATGCTGTTTTTTTTTTCAACAGGGGTATTTGGTAAACCATCCTCCATCCTCATCTTGCTATTGAGCTTAATTTGTTTTACCCAAGTCCATGTTGGTTCTGAAGCAACAATATAAACAACAAGAATATTTTAGGGTTTGGGGTTGGGCAAAGCCTGTCTGGGAATAGGGGCTTAAACAACATCCAGCAAACTCTTCTGTCAGGATTAGGGCTAAGGCAGTTTACATTTATACATTTGGCAAAAACGTCAATCCTAAATAAAATTGAAGAAACATACATTCAAGATATACATTTTACCATGTCATGCATTGCTTGGAAACTGGTTCCATGACTGCTAGTGCAATGTTTTACTGTTTAAGCTACATGAACACTGTTTGATTGTAATTTTGTTTTACAACCAACAACACTGATGCAGGAACACATTCCACATGGCAAAATCACATTTTCATGTAGCTCAGGGTTTTCTCATCGTTCCTGGAGCTTCCTCAGCACTACGCATTTTGGATGTTACCTTTTGCTGTGCCTCATTTCAAAGTTAGCGTTCTCCAGAGGTTGCATTTGTTGGCCAAATATGTCTCATTTCAGAAAAGTAATCATTACCATTCCAGAGTAAGAAAGAAATTACAGCAATTCACACCTCACAAAGAATTAAAGTCAGTTTTATAATGGTTTGTTGAAACGAGCATACTTGATGTATGCAGGCAACAAATGCAACTTCCCCCTGTTGAAAAAAACAGCATATGCTGGTTAGGTATGTTTTGAATCATGGCAGCTGATTGAATCATTGAGCTGGTTTAAGCAGGTCCTTAGTCAGTCATGAGCTGGTTTAAGCTGTTCCTGAGCTGGTTATAAGTTGGTTATGAGCTGGTCCTGAGCAGGAGCTTGTTGCTTAGGACCAGCACATGGGCAACAAATGCAACTTCCCCCTGTTGAAAAAAACAGCATATGCTGGTTTTTTCAATAGGGCCGGAGGGTGCAGCTTTCTAAACTAGACACTAATCAAGGTGTTCAGGATTACTAAAAATTAAAGCCAGGTGTGTTAAAGCAGGGTTGGAACCTTCTGCAAGATCATATCCACTACAAAGCCACATTTTGATTCCCAGGGAACACAGAAGAGGGATAAAAAATACAAATGCCCCTGAAAGCAATATAAGTGTCTTCAGATCAATACTTCCACCACACAAAGTGATTATGATTTGGCTAATTGGAATTATGAATCACCACCTTTTGTTGGTCCTAGAACAACATTCCAGGTTTAACAAACATACTAATCCCATCCTTAATGCCGACCCTAACCTTACCCATTAACTACCCCTAAAATCAAAGGTTGGTTGATATGAGTGTTGTTCAAGCTCCCACCCCAGGCTTAAGCCTAACCCTGCACTGGGTTAAAGGAATATTCTGTATTGTTGGGAAATAAACAATGTAATGAAGCCACTGTATCTTAAAACTCTAAATCATTCCAGGCTTTCCATGCTGTTGCCAACTTCAAATCTCCAGAGGACACTGTCATCCCGCAACCTCCTCCTCTGCAGAAGGATGCTTTGAGGGCTCTGGCCCAGAGAGGCCACGATTCTGTCTATAATAAAGGCCACGTCTCTGAGAGCAATGAGGAAATAACATCACCAACATGTCTAGATGGGCTAAACCGGCCTGTACAGCGGGAGAAAACCTCTTTGGGAAGCTTAAAGAGAGCCAGCGTGGACGTGGAGCTACTGGCGCCTCGCAGCCCAATGGGTAAGGAGACCATGGTAACCTTCAGCAACACATTACCCCGTGCTACAGCTCCAGAGGAGCCAACGAGGCGTCTGGTGACAGTACCTGTTCCAGTACCACTGGACCACATGCGGTCACATCAATTAGTGTCTGAATGGAAGCAAAAGTCAATGGTGATGCGAGGTGGCAGCTTGCCTGACGAGGACACCAGCGATCAGGGCTCAGATGGCGGCAATGACACGACCACAGAGGAGGATAGCACCCACTCTTCAGTCTATTCGTCTGTTCAACCATCAGCCAAACCGGCTAATCCACCTGCAGGGGCAAGAGTAGTGATGCCCCCTCGCCCCCCAGCACAGCCCTCGGTCCCTCCGCCTGTGTCCCCTAAAAGTGCCAGCACTCGGGCCAAATGGCTGTCCATCACAGAGAAAAGTGGTGCTAATATTCCAGTTCTTAAGGCAGGAAATCAGCCTCGGATCATGCAGGTCATTGCCATGTCAAAGCAACAGGGACTCCTGTCTGGATCGGCCAAATCCTCAGAGACCTCGTCCTCTTCTGGTACCTCATCCATCACGGGCACAGAATCATCGCCTAATCGTTCAGAACGTGACAACGGTTCAGGCATCATCACGGTTGATGCCCACGCCCCCCACCACCCCGTAGTCCGTATGACCTCCAACCCCAATAACCCTTGGGAGTGGAGAGGATCTTCTGACGGAAACATGGCCGAGTCGTACGAGCTTAAAAACCTCAACCGTGACGGTTCCCGCAGTCACCGCAACGTGAGGAGCAGTTCTCCTTGTTCCTCCACCAGTGAGGCTGACCATGGGCCACCCCAGCCTCCTCAACCTCCCCAGCCACCACTTCCCCCTCAACTTCCACCCATGGGTCACACCTCAGAAGGTCGCAGTCTGCGCCGCAAGACCCCTCTAGTTCTACTGGATAGGGAGGGCAATCTGAACCACACGGAACAGGACAACTACTACAAAAAGTTACAAAGTGGCAGGCATTTCAAAGAGTGACGATGTGCTAATATATATGAGCACAACTACACTTTTTGGTCATTTGGTTTTAATTACTTGATTTGATTCCATGAGGAATATCAGAATAACTGGATCCACTACACTTTGAGTCAGTAGAGCTTTCGGGAGATGCTGCTTCTGACGATTTAAGAGCACAATGGTTTTTGCCTTCTGAGGGCAAACCAAACTACATTATCAAAATTCCCATCAGATGTATTGTATTTACATAATCTTCTTATTATCAGTGTAAAATAAGGTTTGGGATTATTTTTATTGCTGCTCTATTTGTTCATACTTGACATATTTAAATGTGTGACTGAGATGTCAAGTTGAATTTATGTGTGTGTTTACGCACGATTGTTTAGTGTATGTTGTAGTGATACAGTAATAGAAAATATTTGACGGCCTTGTAACGCTCATAGTGAAAACCAATTTAAAGTGTTTTGTTGGCTCTTTATGAATGATATTGCTTTGCAAAAGGGTAGCATCCGTTCATCGTACATCCGACTATAATTGCTGATAAACTGTGTTGGACATTCTGCAACTCTACTGAAGACACCCTGTGAAAAATGGTGGAAGCACTTTGAAGAAGCACTTATAAATCACTTCATCTCTTTGTGTGTTAACAAGTGAGGTGAACTGGATCGTCCGTGAGGTATTCCAAAGGAATATTAGACTGCTCTGGACTCTTTAAGGAAAGTATTTTCTCATAATCCATCACATACCTTATAGTGGAACAGCAACTGGACAACAGGTCCATGTGAAGAATTTACTGCAGGTCCAACATTTTATGTATCATAATAATGAGAAAGAGTTTCCCAAAAGAAACAACTTTTTTTGGTGTAAATCACAAAAAGAATTTCTACAAAACACTCTGGGATTTATCTGTAATAGTTAGAGGTCTCCTTGTCATGCCGTTTCCCAGAGGTTCTCCTCTAAATGAACTTGATGCATGTTATGTGAGTGTCGTCAAGGTGGAGAGCCTGGTCAGTGAAGAATTCCAATCTGTTATAATGTACATGTGCAGGTTGAAGTCTGTGTGCGTCAGCTCTCTCTTCACGGTGCTCTGAGCTGCTCCTGGATCTCTGTAGATGGTTGTCCGTAATGGATGCTTCGTGCTGTTGATGCAGTTTCCGAAAAAAAGACAACATAAATGACAACAATAAACAAGCTGCTGTAAATTACAATGACCCTAAATTGTCATTTGTAACACACTGCAAACATTACCCCTCCCATTTTGTACTGAAACATTTAGAAAGTGTAAATCTGGTGGCTTACAGCAGGTTAGTGGCGGAGGTGTAGAACCAATCAGTAGACATTTGAGAGCGATGTACAGTACATGAAAGCTAAGCAAATAACCCTTTGCAAAGAGCTTGATTGACAGGCGATCTGACCAATCATAACGCTGAATCTGCCATTTTGTCCGACAAACAAATCGCACAGTAGAGTAGATTAACTTCAGTGGACTTAAAGGTCAAGGCACCCATAGTCCCCAAGGTGTCCCATACTCAAGCGCAATATACCAAACCTGCATTTAACAAGATAATCATATCTGGGTTTTTTTTTTTTTTAAGATTGTTTAGAGGTGCATGCGTTGTTTGTGTTTTTCATTATTTGGCATTTGATTGTTACACTAAGCAAACTCACAGAAGGACAATGACTCTGCAGCCAGTGATTACTCCAGAGTAATTAACCAAAAATATAAACCAATAAAATACTGTAGATCTGCAAACTGCTTTTAAGTTTGATTCAAATATGACATGCTTGCCTTTGGGACCTGATTTTTAAACAGCTTGATTTCTCATTAAAACAGGATTTATTTTAAATCTCTCCACCAAAGATAAATTTTAGCCCAGAGCATTTCACAGTCTTGCTGAGGTCATACTTTAAATTCTTATTAAATGCAGATTAAACTGGCAGTGCAAGCATTCCTACATATGGAGTTTGAATATGAAACTTTCAGATGCAGGATGTGGCAAGTCACCAATAATAGAGTGGCAGGAAGAGAAAGAAAAACTTAAAAAAAAATGTTTACTACTGCAAAGCACACCATCTGTGACAAAGTGTTGTTACTTACAGTAGATTAACAGAAAACAGCGATTTCTGAGTATAATGATTGCAGTGATTTTACCAAGAAATAAAAATGGTGAAACATACAAGGCATCTATGATGCCTCGACAGCATCCCACACCTGGGGTTTAACTATACTGTTGCCATGCAGTGCTCTGAGTGAGTACTGCAGAGATGCACAAAGGATGTTCTGTCTCCTCTAGAGGCATCAACAATTAGCTTGCTGTCAATCCAAATGAATGTCAGACAATTTAAGATACTAAATTTTAAAGATCTCTCAGTATTGCACTGCAACATCTCAAAGAGACTGCAGATGTAGTCCGCTAAATGAATAAATGTTCAGATCATTAGGCACGCTATGCTGGCTTACAGCTAGCTATATGTAGTAATGTTTCAAGCCCTTATGAATCATGCTGTGACCTCTCAAAAAGCCAGCGGTGCATTTGGGCCCATCTTGGTATCATGAAATCTACCTGGCACCAGTATAAGCTTCTTCCACCTAGTCAGCTCTGACGCCTACATACGCTCTCCAAACATGAGCAGTGCCCACGCCATACGCTGCAACTATCATGAAGTCTGCAAAAGCTCAAACAGAGCTCTGGCTGTTGCTATGGTGACTGCATGGGTTGAGCAGTGCAGAGCAATTTATCATTTTAATAAGAACTATATGTGTGTGTTTCAAGGGGTGGGTCTGGACTCACAGTCATAGACATACAATTCATTTGATTACACAGAATGCTTTTGAAAGATGAGAGGTTGAAATGGATTTTTGAGCCCTGACAAAGTTTCCTTTATTATCAGCTGAGCTGTGAGTGGTGTAGGCTGGGTTTATTATATGATATCTGATGTAATCTTTTTACAACAGATGAGAAAAGTCTCTCTGGAATAATGTCACTTAGAAATATTATTAAACTGAAAGCTGTCACTTTGCTTTATTCATTTAATATTCTTAATTTGAAAGATGAGAGGTGGGTTGGAAATATTCCTTCTTGCTACTAAATTCTTATTAAATGAGTTTGGGATTTTTAGTCCAAAAATATTTCTCATTTATGAGTCTTATGTTATTCTGTTCTCCATCTATTGGCAAGAGCCATGTCCTCCAGATATTCACAAAAAGAAAGACAAAATAGTACCCACAGAATTTAATCATCCAAATACACACCAAAATACACTTTCCTCATATTTCGTATATTCGATCAAAATTAATACGAAAGAATGCAACGAGTCGTCTGGAGATAGTGGGTGATGACGTTCGCTCATCCCCTGCTGGTATTCAGTTTATTCATCCTGATTAAATTCAAGTTGATTAAATTTTCAAGAGCGTTAATGAAGACAGCAGCCCTTTGATCTCCAGGTGCTTCAACTGCTCATGGTATTAAAGCTTTTATTTTACCTGGGCTCTAGCACCAACTCAGGTGGCCAAATGTCCCACTTTTAGCAGTGCTAAGGAGTGGACCATTTCTGCAATGCTGCTAAAGTGACAAATAGGTGGTGGACTTTAACTGGCAAACTGGTCATGATGAACTGTAGTGGTTCTCAACTGATAAGTGTTCAAAAGGGGTCACAGGCCCATTAAACTAGTTTGGGGTGTTTTTTGTAAGATTGTTTTTTGAACAGAATTAATACTTTTATTCTGCAAAGTTGAATTAAATTGATCAGAAGTAACATTAAAAAAAAACTTTACAAAATAATGTAATTCTATTTCAAATAAATGAACTTTCTAATCATCAAAGAATCCTGACAAAAATTCCACAAAAATATTAAGCAGAACAACTGTGTTGTTTAATAACAGCACCGCAGCAGTTTTATTTCTATAGTAGGACATATCAAGTTTACATTTCCAAACATTCCTTTTGCCATTAATTACAATAATCCAGTGAGATTTTTCACAAGGAGTCTGTTTCACAACCAGTGCTCCACACAGAGATGTGATCTCATCATCCTCCAGTCTGTCTGGAATGACACGAAGAAGCAGAAAAAAACTGAGACAGATTAAATCCAGAAAAAACTGTGGCAACAAGAAACCTGTTGTCAAACTCCTTGTGCAAACAACAATCAAAAATCTCACGGGATTATTAATCTCAATGGCAAAAGGATTGTTAAAATTGGCAAAAACTACAGCATATATATATA